CCATGAAATCGCGAAAAGAAGGGGAAAAGGTCGTCGAAAACGACGCATGTCAATAACGACAGTAATGGGGTCGAGCATCAGCCACGATTGTGGCTAGTTTGCACCCAAACACTTTGGGATGCAGGCATTTACCAAATAGCCTTTTTTTACTGCCAAGAGTCTCAAGCTGTGTGCTTTTGAAAACAGACAGAAGACAGACTGGGAAAGTCCGACTTTTGCACAAACTGTGATGCATCAGATCGGGGCGGTCCCCGTCTTAGAGTTATACGGCACAACCCCACCCCCTTCGACTTGAATGTCGCTCAAAACGTACCCTGAGCGTTAACTGCAGCCTCGATCTTCATTATGTACGATTCATCGGAAAATTTGGTAAGCGTATGAAGAAAACGTGTGTGTGTGCCCCTTCAAGTTTAGCTGTTAATGCGGATTACCGTGGTATTTGGACGATTTCATTTGCGATACCCTTGCTCCTGGCGGTTTAACCTGACCCCTAGGTTCTAATCGTCTTTTATTTCATCAGCTGATTCGACTTATAACCTGTTGTTATAACCTGGTGCTGCGCGTGTTTGTGGTTACTTTTCGCGGTTCGTGGGTGGATGCCCTTCGATACCTCAAAACTTTCAACAAACGAGCCAGATAAACCGCGGGCTTCTGTTGACGTCAAATCTCGACAACCTGCGCAATGAATCAGCTCGCTTTCGAGTGCTAGTCAAAGTACACGACAAAATTTGCAATCCTGACGAACTGACATCATCGGAACAAGTGACCTTTCGGTGTAATTTGTGCTGGCGCACCACGCTCCCACGTTCCAAGACATTTTAAGCTATTTGATAAATTTAACAGCCTTTTTGGCAAATCTGTCGACGACTCTCCGGTTCAACAATGCCCTTGAATCAGTCCACCGGAATGGCATTTTAAACCACTTCTGGCACCTGCGTATGCGTGATGCACTCAACTCCACAAACTTCACAGTCAACAGCGATGTCCCTTCGACGGGAGGATCTTGACGACTAGAATAAGCTCGATTGTTGTGTTGCCTAATACGGATGCAATTATCGGATCGATCGATTTCCTTGTCACAATTCCGTGAATGTTGAAAGAACTCTGACAGACAGCGACCAATCAACCGATTGATGACGATGATGGAAGGTAACACTAGGGGGACAATGATGCTCGCTTGGAAGCAGGAATTGCACAGAACGCGGCGGCGTTGAACACCGCCTTGAACCACCACGCGAAGAAAGACGTAAAGGAGGTGGATGAAGGAAGGGTTATTTTTTTCCAGGTCAAAAAAATTCACACACACACACACTTTCCACCTGGGAGCAATTACCACACTGTGCAGGCATGGTGCAGTCATCGCTTGACCGGGATTCGGGTCAGTGGTTACACAACGCCGTGGGTGATGATAGTGACGATAAGCAGGAGGAGGATGAGGAGTAGGAGAGGCCGTCTGTGCTTAATCAGATACAGACAGCCCACAAACGACCTCATGCAAGCACGTGGCAACAGCGTATTCTGAGAGTCTAGTTCTGTTGGCGTGCTTCACGAAAGCCGTCGGCGACAGAAAAATGAGACGGGTCTGGGCAGACCAGAAACCAACAACACAAACACCTCCTGCACAACCTTGATTTGCGTCACACACACGCACACACCGGACACAGTTCCAGACTTGGCCAAATGTGCGGACAGACACCAGACGCAAAACGGCGGTGCTGTTACATGAATAAAAGTATCAATATAACGCAACGGGTCCACTTGGGGTGTTGTTCCAACACGTGGCCGGCGTCGGACATGTCTCTACCCCCGTTGTCCGCCAAGTCAAAATGTAATTTGGCAGAGAGAAAAAACGTGTGTATGACTTGAGCTTAGGACTAGAGCACCAAGTCGACCAAAATTCGCATTGATCGTGCCGAAACAGAGAAGTTAACGAATATCACGACAGAGGTCACCGTCAAGAACATTTCAACAATACGGAAACATCTACGTCGAGTTCACCAGATCCCCCCACCCGCAAGTTTTGGTGACATCAACACGGTGCTGGTGGAGAGATTCTGGCATGCAGTCGAATGAGGGTGAATCACATTAATCCTGCCGAGCGTCCTTGAACGCCCGGACACAATGGGTGAGGTTCAAAGGATGGCCGAGCGGATGTCCCATAAGTTAATTAAAATCCAAAAAACGTTAGGGCCCCATAATGGTGGTGAAAGACACGCATGGACACAAACCACAATACTAGTGTTGCGTTGTCACCGGTAACAGGAAGGATTGAGTGGGGAGAAACAACCAATTACCTCCACTACCACCCTCCCAAGACGACGATAGTAGTGTCGTGGAACTGTGAGGATCGCAGACGTCACGGAACGCTCGCCCAGTAACCAAGAATCGACCAGTTTCTCGACAGTTCTACCGTTAGAACAAAGCTATTCAACGGAAGCAACCTGCTTGCCAATGGCAAGTGATTCTGCAGCTTGACGGCTCACACAGACGGCCATCTTGGAACTCGCCTGGAAGGTCCAAATGTCACTCATTGCACATCACCTATTCAAGCCGCCATGGCATTAGACAACGATGGAAATCTCAGCAACGAATCGGTGGAGGGGTGCGAAGAAGTAGAAAACAATGGCGGACACAACGACAGACGCTCCATTTTGCGGTAAAGTTAGGTTTTAAGCAAATGATTTACCCTTCGCTTGACCAAAAAAACTTGTGACAGACGCGAAATCAACACACCTTGGGAACCGGGACCGGGAGGAGGAGGGGCGGGAGGCGGAGGAGCACCACCTAGTCGACCAGGCGCTGGGGGCGGCGGCGGCGGTAGGGGAGGAGGTGGTGGTGGCGGTGGGGGAGCAGAAGTGGGGGCAGGAGGTGGTGGTGGCGGTGCCGAAACCGCAGACGGCGACACTACAGCCGCCTTCGAGCGCTCGCGTTCCGCCCGTAATTGCTCTCGCAACTCGTCGATCTCGTTCTGCAGCTGCTTTTCAGTTGACGAGGCGGTGGAATTCTGATCAGCGAGACGGGAGCGCAAAGTTTTCACTTCGTCTTCGTTATTCGAGATTAGGGCCTGTCAGAGAAAACACATAATGACAAGGCCATCCGATGCTAATTGGAGATAGCGCGCGTTACTGCATTTAAAAAGAATCATTCAAAGGGTTGCCTCCAGGCCATTCCGTTTTCCGTGGATGTGAGTTCCACGGAGACCTAGGACTGGAACCTCATCAAGCTGAAAAGGACGACAAAACACATCACACACCTCTTGTTTGGTCAATTGAGCTTGCATTGCGGCGATTTTCTCCTCAAAAGACTGCGTCCTGGCCGCGTACTCGGCCTGGGTGCTGGCGAGTTGGCCTTGAACGGTGAGCAGGTCGGCGTCCAGCATTTCCACCTCCGCTTGGAGCGCCTCCTTCGCCTGGGAATCCTCCAGCAGCATCGCCACGTCCACGTGGTTGTCCAGGTAGGCCTCCAGTTGACGACCCAGTCGGTCGCCCACTTTGCCGTAAATTCGCTGACCCACGTGGAAGTTGAAAAAAAGAACACCAACTTTGGAACGTCAAGACGCTGACGGAGACCGGCTTTTTAAGCACAACGAGCCCTATGCGACTTTGTTGAACGGACTATTTGCAACAATCAGTTTGTGGTTATGTGATCAGACCCCACAGCGACTCCATCTCCAAGTAAATAGATCCAAGGAGTGGAGCAACGTTGTAGGGCATTACGAAAGCTGATAATCAGCTCGAGTAGCGGCACTTCGAAATGGCTACTAGCTTGATTTGATTGACCTTTTCATATTTTTTTGACTAATTCTACGCTCTTTGAGACAAAACAACAACAATGTTGAAGTGATGGTGATATGCAGTACCTGGAGGTATTCATCCAACTTGTGGTAGGTGAATTCCTGCTGCAAGAAGACACGGAAAGCGATGTCGTCCGTAGAGTGCACGACGATGTTGATGAATTGCATACACGACACCTAGAGAAGAAATGGGATTACACATACACACACACGTGGATGAATCCACCGCAAAACGTGCCTTCGGATTCATTCGACAACTCATGGCTGGGCTTCATGGTAAATACAATATGAAGACGTGGGCAATACACAATAATAGGGATGCAATGAGGGGATTGGTTGAGGATATCCACATTATTTGATTGGTCAGAGGAAAGGTCGAAAACACCTGCATCATCTGCATATCATGCAGCCTAGTGACATTTGCCTCCAGTCTGGTAGGGCACATACGCCACGAAGTTAAGCCAGAATGGTCACACAAATACACACACGCAGGCTTAATTGGTAGGTGTAAATTAATGCGCAACGCCCCTCGGCCACAATTCCACGTACCCATTTCGGTGGGACGTAGACCTTGGCAGTGCTAATCCAGTCACCTGAGCAGCTGACTCATCTGCTTGTAAACTGATTGCCAATTTAAATTGATGGTCAATGACTCAGAACAGAATGATACGCCCCCGCACGATTCTGGGTGAGCTCATTTAGGTCGACTTTGATGGGGAATGCGAGGGAAAAAATTCAACAGGAAGTGCACAGGCTAAAAAGCCGATGGTTATCGCGTTGACTGCTCGACAGGTTGCAGTGGTGCATTTCGCTCAAAGCTTATCAACACCCTGCACAGTAGCGTGACCTTGAGAGAGATTTTAGACTAATCGCTTAAAACACCAAAAAACCAGCACATGTTAAATGAGGGAGTAACATGGACCGCCCATATGAAGTAAGAACGATTGTTAGCCACTGCTCTTCGTACTAAAATGGACACATAACCGCCTCACCATGAAGTCGATGCTGTAGTCGTCAGGAGGGAGGTGTTCGTGGTTTCGGAAGAAGTAGACCAGCGACTCGAAACGCCGACTTTCACCGAGTTCACGGCAGATCTCGTCGAAGGCCGCGATCACGCGGTCGTGTCCACCGACGATCAGGCACACCACCGCGAGCAACTCAAGCACCAGGGTTTTGGTCCTGTAATGAAAAGACGAGGGAAAAAGAATGTGCACTCATTGTCACAATGTGGTTCTCTGTTAAAACACACGCACACACAGCATCGAGCTTCGTCCACGGACGTGGGATGGCGGCGGCAGCGGTGAGTCACAGCGTGACGAAGTTGTGCGCAAAATGGCTAACTCGAAATCGGGACAAGTTAAATTACACCTACTACGCACACTATCTCATGATGAAACGACTTCAACATAGCCTCGAACTAGTCGTTTGCCCGATAGACTGATCATCTTACGCGAATATGAGTTGATTCGAGAACTAACTGATCAGATCTCCACTCAAGCCGCATAGTTCTTGCGAATACCTTAACGATTTATTGTGTACCATACGAATCGATGTATTCAGTACCATCACTACGATTCCAGCCAATCAAAACGCCAGGCGTTGTGGTGCGTCTCCAGTGATTTGAGGGATGGAGCGATTCAGGCGATCAACCTGATCCACAACGATTGTTTGTGCTGTCAGCGTTCGGGTGTTTACTAGCGCCCCGGACTACGCGCGACTAATGCACTTGTGTATAAACTGCTAGGCACTGGTCGATATCCCCATGGCGATTCAATCACACACGCACACAGTCCAAATTTGGTGTCGTGGACTTGAAATTTTGCTATCAGACGGCAAAAAAACGAAACCGCATACACACACACACACCCCGCTGTGACATTTAATCCGTAAACCAAAGGAGGAGGAGGAGCGGAATTCCCACGAATCCAAGCAAAAAGCACTTCAAATCTTGGTGAATCACGCGGCTAGATGGCACCGACACTCGTTACACGCCAACTTAATATTATCCGCCGAACAATAAACTGCAAGCACTCACTGAAAACTTGGGTGAAGCAGACACAACGCGATGGTGTTGATGGTATCTGGGTGTTCGAAGATCATTGTACATCCACGCTAAAACAATAAAATCAGCATTATTTCCCCGAAGTACTCGTCTACTTGCTAATATCAGGACCACCATAATCGCGTACTTTTGACCAGTTTGCGAATCACTGGTATAAAAGTGCAACGAGTTCAACCCGTAGAAATGCACTAGAACAACGAACTTCAGGTGGCAAGCTACCTAGACTCTATTTCAAAAGTACAGATGAGTAATTGTGGTGTAACGAAACATCAAATAGCCCTTCTCTGATTAGCACCTGACAAACTCCAAGAGAAACAGCAAGGACGAATGACTAGCTACACACTTAGTCGCCCTACTTTACACCTTGATAGGCCATAAAAAGTACACTAATTCAGTATTGAATGATTGAGGTCTAGACGTTCATACCTGGTTGTTAAGGAGTGCACGGTAGCACTTGACGCCAAGATGCACGCTGTCGTAGGAGAGGTCTCGTCCAGCTGGGTGGTGCCGGGTGTCGAGACTGTTGCTTCGCCCCCCTCCTCCACCTCCACTCCCCTTTCTGTGTCCCCCACGATGGCAGAAAAGACCTCGAGATACCTCCTCGTCACAGTCGACGACGAAGTACCCCGATCCGCTCTTGTCGTCCCCGGTGAACGAGCAGCTATGCACACCGCGGTGGCGACTGCACATGTTAGGGGGCAGTATGCCATTTCTGGAAGGGAAAGAAAATGCTATCACAATTAGAAAGCGAAGAAATCCCAAAAGACCTAAATCAATCGAAAGGTGCGAGGATCACAAAAGCTAGATTCATGCAAACTTACAGGATAGATGAGAAGGAAGTGGAAGAGGCGCACTTTTGTAAGTCTCTTTTGGAATAACAATGGGGTAAAAAAAGAGGAAAAAGCGAAGTGCAACAGAGGAAACAAGGTGGAAACATACCTAAGCATATTTCGGACAGTTTTCGACATATACTCCTGGAGTGCTTGCAGGCCCCCCTTGTCAAGGAATTCGTAGACCCACCTAATAAAAAAGGGGTGTAATTTTACCACGAAAAAAACCAGTTATCTTACGAGACATTGTTGGTGCGTAGAGAAATTTCTGTGGCGTTAAGCACATCGCGCGCAGTCTGTAGGGTGTTTTTTCGCGACTAAAATCGAAATCGGTGGCAAATGATTGACGCTTACTTTCGATAGATTGCCACGATAGCTGCGTAGACCCCTAATTAATGTCACATAGTGGTAGGCAGAGTGCTTGGAAGTCTTGATAGTCTGATGGGAAGGGATAATGGCAATCACATAGTCTTACATAAGACTGAATAAGATGTCGTTTTTGATCTTCAGGAAGCTGTTCAATACCCTTGGCTTTGTCAGGATCAACATCGAGGGATTGGATGAAACTATTCCACACATCTGCGTCTTCAGATGTCATTGTCTAGTCAATGCATCTCTCTAGAATACAAACACTATTTATGTAAGCAGTAAGGTAAGCCTATTCGTGAATATCACTTTGACACAAGAGACATCTACGTCAAAGTGGATGTGCGACAAACACACTACACAGATAGTGGGAAACAATAGGGACTTAAATGGGTCATATGACTCAAGCAAGCGTTCAAATCAAACAAAAGGCAAAGCGTATGTCGTTACACCACAAAAAACAATGGACACGGAACTTTTAGATGCAACACATGATCTAATTACAACTCAGGACTTTAGGCCTTCAAAAAAAGAAAAACGCAGATACAAATATTAAGGGAAAAGAGAGCTAGACACGCAAGTTTCGTAAGTCTTCAAAGTAACTAACGCTGATCACGAAAAAAAAATGTTATAAAATACAAATTGTTTAATATTTCGCTTAGCATAAAACTACATGATCACGTTATTCGTGACGAATAACCAAAAGTTAATACTTTTAGGTCTCTAAGAAGGATACTTACAATCACATATAGGGCGCCTGATTAACCAACCACAAAGTGGAAAAAATTGCGAATCAACGACATAAACGCAAGAATACAAACCTTATTGGTCTAAATTGCCTAACCTAGAATATCTTGAAAAAATTCTAAGGCTAACAGTCTCGTTAAACACCTGTCTTTTAAAAGTTAAAATCGGCAAAGACCTAAAATAGCATACTAAAGTTTACTTGCATAAATATGCTTTAATCAGAACATATTAATTTTCTGTTCTAATTAGAACGCTGCTCACATCGACGAGAGAATGTGTGATTTCGAGTCTCTACCTTTGACACATTCTGACAATTTGTACAGCCTTGATTAACAACACAGTGGTATAGTGAGCAGAGCATTCGACAAATTAAATACCAGCCGTTTGGCTTCATTTGGACTACTGTTAAATTCAATTCAACTAAAGCCTGTCCAATTCGAGCATTGTAATCTTTTCATTGCAACTAACATCTGTCTGCGATAAAAAAAACAACTGTTTAGACAGCGAAACACTAAAATCGCATTTTTGGACCAATCAATATTCTCCTTCGTTAAGTACACCGATTAGTTTTGTAGTATTCTGCGAACTATCAGAACAATGTGTTATATATTCAAAGAAAGCATTTAGGATGACGAAGTTGTGTGCGACACCTTATATCTTTTAGTGTCTTTGAGTAATTGAGCGTAAATGGTAATTTCTTATTGCACCAGACTTTAAAGTGAGTTGGTCTTATTGTAAGTTCCTTGAACCAAACCGAGGCCACAATGTAATACTGGCCCTATTTAACTATAACGAAACCTCTTACATTTAGTAAAATCCGAAAAAAATGACAAACGAAAAATCATTTTAAGACAATAAACTCTTCAATGTTTCGTGCTATGTGAATTTCTAGTAAAATGTTTTCGTTTTCAGCCCTACCATTTGGTCGTTAATCCCGTCAGGGTCACCAATTAGCTACAGCTCTATACAACGTTCAATACTCAAGAAGAACCAAGTTCGCGGTAGTGCAGATAAATTGGCGTTTATTTGGGAGCTCAACCCAGACGTCGTCGTGTGTCCATGCAACTCAGATGTGTAAAACAGCCTGAGATGCGAATGTACCAACATGGAGATAATCCAGGGTAATTAAGGGGAGGTCGTGGTTCCACGTGGTTGACGACATGCTGTGGAAATGGGGACATTGGGTACGATAATATAGTGATTAGATTAACGAGGGTGAATAAACACGATAAAAACATTCCAATTGAACTAGACGTTACCTGCAGTTTAATTAAAAATTTTAGTGTCGGTAAACTAATTCCGTCCGTTGGAACTGGTAAGTTTCTAGACACTTGAATAATAACATGCCTGGTATTATTGATAGTGAAGGAATTTGTGTAATGTGCGTGATCAGGTGTGCTGTGTCGACAAATAGAAAACTGTAAAAAGTAGATGTGGTGTCGGATGTGAAACGTGAGCTGTCAAAATTTTTTTTGTAAAAGGAAGTCAGATTTCCTAAAAAATAAACCTTTTTAAACCTGGTATATGTTGTATAGTTATTTAGTAATATTAATCTATGTGAAACTTTTCAAACTACCATGAACATTTAGATATTTACTAATATTCTTTTTTGTTGACATTCGTACGTCCAAATTTTGATTTAGTAAAAAGACTCTCACGGAAAACACAGGGACTCTCTAACAGATTTTTAAATCCTATTATTTCTACTTGTGCATTTTAACACGCAGCTGGTTTATTTGTTCGGCAGGTGATATGCAGCGAAAAGAGGTACTCTGTGTCGGAGGCTGGAGTGATCTTCTAGGGGGGGGGAATTAGCGCGATTCACTACAAGACTCAAAGCTGCTTGGCGTAAAAAGTATTTAGATATGACTCCGTCATATTTGGTATGACGTAGTAACTGAGTTTGGCTTAAATGACATTTGAAAGCCCAAAAGGAATCATGTTCTAAATAAGCATTTCAGAGTTATAAAGTTATTTACTGCTTTCTTGATAAGTAAATATTAAAATACTTATAAGGACTTAGAGGTTCAGACCTGTCTATAGTTGCCACAAAATTCTTCGATCCCTATACTGTAAATTTCTAATGATATCGGGTTAATGTCACAATTTGTATGCTGCAGTTTAGTGAGGTAATCCCATCCTGTGAACATGTGTAAATGTTTACGTTGAAGAGTCCACATGCCATCTATAACAATCTCCAAGTGAAAAAAACTTTGGCCTAATTGCTTATAATATTTCTTTACTGCTGATCAATCCTGCATCATAAATTTTAATAATCTGCAATTAGGAAGAACTAAAGGTGTTCAAGACCAGCTGGCGTGTTTGGATTTCCCAAGTAGAACTGTATTTTGTAAACTACGCAGTTATGGGCAAATACACAAAAATAGTGCGTTGCAGCTCTTGGTAAATTAATGAGTATGTCCATAACCATTGTTATTTTTTTTCTCGGTATCTTCTTTGCGAAGTGGTGAAATGAAAAGCTGTCATTTTTATGTTGAATTTTGACTGGTTTTTTACAGATTACTTTTGGAACGTTAAAAATCGAAATATATGCAGGAGTGCAACTTTGTCACTAGAAACAGTTTACTTACTCTTTGAAAAAAAGTTTTACTTGATATACAAGGATATGTTTTTAATTCTGTACCTGAACCTTCTCCGCCTCGATTGGGCTTAGGACATTTGTAAGTAAATGTTGCTATTGCCAACAATCACCCCTCATACTAACTGTTCACTAAAATTGGAACACGACGACACTTTAACTTGCACTTCAATAATTTGACATTCCAAGCCTCATTTTAATACACGTTTTCACCTGTCCTTGCTCTGTGTTTTTGCCTTTCAAACGACAATTTATTTGCACACCGCCCACGCTTCTGTTTAAGATTTCACCAACCAATCATATTTTTAATTTTGTGTGTGATTTTTATGCAACGCCTGGTTGCCAACCTAGTTCGTGGCTTCATTCCTCCTGTTGTTATAACTTGTAATATTTTTAACGCTGATTATTTTTTTTCATAGCTGTTCGAATTTCATTGTCAATGAGCTGTCATCATCACGGAATGGCTACCATAGGTAGCGATAACTCTATCGACTTGTCAAACATTGCTGCATTTCATGAGCCAGAGTTTTTGTTCATAAATAAGCTTTTCCAGAAACACGGCTTTGAAGTTCGTGTTGCCGGTGGAGCTGTTCGAGATATCCTAATGCAGCTGAATCCAAAGGACATTGATTTAGCAACTACGGCTACGCCCTCCCAAATGGTCGAGATGTTCACAAAGGAACAACTGAGAATGCTTAACCGTAACGGCGAATCACACGGAACTGTTACCATTCGGCTTAATGACAAGGTAATTTTGTAAATGTATTTTTAGAACTAATGTCAGGTGCTCGCGCAAATGTATAATATGTACAGTTGCTCATCCCTCTTTCTTGTATCCTTTCTATTATTCATTTATTTAATTAGCCGGTGGATTCATTAAATGCACTAATTGCTGTCTCATTCTGATTAATTGACTCTCTGTTTATCGTGAAAACTCTACTGTATGCCTCACACATTTAGGTTAACTATGAAATTACGACACTTCGAATTGACCTAAACCCTGATGGACGTCATTCAGATGTGACTTTCACAACAGATTGGCAGTTAGATGCAAGTCGGCGGGACTTAACCGTCAACTCTATGTTCATCGGTGTTGAGTTTGATGACTTGGAGGCGGACAGCCACGGCGCTGCGCCGTCCGCAAGCATACGCGGCAAACTGTACGATTATTTCAACGGATTCGAAGACCTTTCCCATCGTCGCATCCGGTTCGTCGGCGACCCAAAGGCGCGAATCCAGGAAGACTACCTTCGAATACTACGTTACTTTCGGTTTCACGCTCGTCTTTCTAACAGCCCTGATGACCACGACGAAGCTACACTGAAGGTAACGCATCTCCAACAAGCTGCTTTGGAATGAACCATTGTACAAATGTACTTTTTCTTTGTTTTTTTTCGATCAGGCCATCACCGAGACTAGCAGTGGTTTATGGGGAATTGCCGGTGAAAGAATATGGATCGAATTGAAGCAAATTTTCTGCTACCCATCGGTGCCACTTCTGTTGCGTTACATGGCCAAAACTGGCGTTACGCAAGCCTGTGGCCTACCAGCAAGCCCCAATTACGCGGAACTTGAAAAGGTCTTTGAACGGGGTCTTTTAAGGCACGATCCAAACCCAGTAACTTGCGTCGCCGCGGCTCTGCACTCCACAGACGAGGTAGGCCCAATTTTCAAGACTGAAGCAGTACTGTTGGCGTCAATAAGGCATAGCATGGGATTAGGAGCCACGCGATTCTACCTCTTTCGCTTGTTTCCTCAGGTTGACACGTTGTTCGACAGGATCCGCCCGTCCAACCTGGAATCCAACATTGTCTACTTCCTGGTTGAATGGCGAGAGCACTTAGCCTCGACGGATGCCCTCGAGTTTCTCAAACGCGAGTACCTTCTCTCCATGGATCAGGCGCGTTTGAAGCCGGTGTTCGACGAGGCGATGCGCTACTTTGGCGACGCGGCTGGCGAGGCCCTGGCGTCGTGGTTGGCCTGGCAAGCGCCCAGGTTCCCTGTCAACGGGACCCTCGTTTCGGAGCGTTGGGGTATCAAGGGCCGGCTGCTTCGCTCGCTGCTCCAGGGTCTGCGCACCGCCTGGGTCGACTCGGGATGCTCTCTCACCGCGGACGAACTGCTCTCCAGCGAAATGCACCAAAAACTCGCCAGCGCCCAGCCCGATGACCTGCAGAGGAGTCCGCTCATTCCTCTGAAACGCCAAAGACGCTAAAAATTTCTCCTTCCTCCCCCTCTCTCTAGTTTCTTATCCATCTCGCTTTGTACAGTCGTGTTTTTTTCTACTTAGACCCCTTCTTCCGTGGGATGTTTGGCCGTCGAGTTGGCCAAGTGCATTGTCTTGAAGAGTTGCCGCAGCTGACACCCTTAAAACCACACCTTGCTCCACGCGTTGTTGAGCATCAGAATAAATAGTCATGTAAACATTTGTGGGTCCTGTGCATCGAACACGACCTTTTTCCCTCCGGTGGCTCTGTCGCTCGTCTTCTGCATCAGAAGGCCCCTGCAAAGAGAGCTCTGTTGGTGTGTCAAGACGGGGGTGGTTGTTATCCCTTGATGAAATGCCTCTTGTAGCAATACCAGCCCCTAGTAATTAGTGCTCTAAGTGTGTAATATCGATCCATTTGAGAAGTGTGATCATTGCTGCTATTGAAGTTCACCCAAGACTGCCTCAAAACGGGATCGAGCGGGCCGATGGCATTTGTGACTTGGTCACGATGTCCCGAGTACCTGATCGATGTTCATCCAAATACGCCTTCGAACTGGGAGTGTTTTTTTGAAAAAAAGAGCAATTAAATACAAGCACTGCGCATGTGTAAATTTTCAAGATAAACAGAGAAGTAAGATCGGTGTCTATGCTGTACACGATGCTTCACCCTCACAGAATAAAGGGAAGTCAAGATTCGTTGTGTGTGTTTTGCCTACTGAAAAACAATGAGTAGCTGCGCAATCAAACGCGAGATCCTTGTCAATTCAGTGGCGTGGCTGGGTGCAGTGACTCGTCTCAAGTAGCGCTGTTTGTTCTTCTATCTGTCTACCGAAGGTGACTGAGTGTTCACTAAGCAGGCTGAAATTTTATCCTACACCTCGACCAGGAGATGAACAAGTTTAGTTAAAACAGCAGCATAAATGGTCTGGGATATAGTGACGATATACGAGCATCACGATGAGTCGTTTTGCAAGGGAATTTGAGCCGTCAAATCTGACCAATCGATTGTTCGAGAAGGGCCAACTCAAGGTCACATTTCATCCCAAAGCGAAAATGCAGTGAGGCATATGTGCACCCTTTGATACTCTGTATTTATCGATTAAGTGAGCTGAATTCGCCATGTGTCACGCTCACGCCATTCGTGGACTAAATGCGTCGATAACATATTACAATCAAAAAACAACTATTCTTAAAAATGGGATTTTCTTGGTTTTTCATCAGAATATCTATTTTTTTTAAAAAAAATTAGTTTGTATTACATTGATGCCTAAGTAAATGTTATTGATTCCATCAAAGTCTGTGAGATTCAGCGTTTTTATGCAAGATGAAGTGCGCGGAAACTGGTTTCAGTTGAGCGGAACATGACACCGCACAAAAATGCTAAGTTAACATTTTATTGTTGAAAATCCTTTAAATTCTCCCTTCTACTTCTGAAAGTGAGTGAATGTATATTTAAAAAAAAACACCCTTTTCGGTGATCCTTTGGTTATTACTGTTTGGGCATTCCGAAGTATGGCCAAACCCTGATTGGCCAGCCATTGACGAGGGCCTTAGATATGCTGGACCAGTTAAAATGGCGGAACTTGGGAAATTAAGTATAGACTGTGATTCGAACGGCAGTCATGCGGAAAGGTGAATGCCCCAACAACTAATGCGATCACCAGCATCAGGGGGTCACGGTTTCATTTAGCGTCTAATCGATTAGTAGGTTTGGCTGGAAGGCCTTGGTGGTATTGGAAGTAAGCACTGGAATTGTTGTGGATATCGTCCGGAGAATTGTGGTAAGAGGTCGCCAAACGTCATTACTTCGAAGGTCGATGTTTCGGACACCAGAAGTTGTGGGCCCCAGCGTGTGGTCTTGAACCACATCGGGGCCACGGAATTAAGCCTGGCCCGATTACGTTTCCCTAATACCCGCGACGAAGAAAAAGATCAGAGAGGACGTGGACACAATCGTTTACTTCAGTGCTCAACCACGCTGGTATCGTTGTGTCGCGTGTGGGGTTTGCGCATGTGTATTTATACCTCGGATGTGTGTCATAGATGCGTTAACATCGAGACCTAGGTGTGAGGATACTCCAAGATAAATATCCGTGTGAATGAGGGGGGCGTTGAGGGGGAAAGGGGAACCCTGTGTCGGAGGTGGAGCGACCGAATTAGGGAGAGTAAATAAACACGATTCACAACTGAACCATCCACGACGAATTCACATCTTAGAACCTCCACGAAATCTGAGTGGTCTGACTTGTTGTGAGCAATGATAATCTAGTCGCTCCTTTCTCTGACACATTGCTGTCTTCCCCATGGCGTCAGCCACACACCGGATTGGCGCGGATGTTCATCCTGGGTTATTATTACATCTAATTGCATGCCTTGCTAGGCTTCTATGTTGGCACATTTACGACTTACTTTGCTTCACACATCTGCGCTATAAATACACACGCGCATACGCCAAACACGACGCGACAACAGCTTGGTTGAGCTATCTAATAAACGGTTGTATCTGCGCTCCTTCGGATCTTTTTCCAACACCACAGCGGCCTTGACGTCATTTAAGACCACGTGCCTGAGCCAGCAACAAACTTTTCGCGTTGGTGTAGTCTAATGTTTGTGAGGTATTGCAGGTGGGTCAAAATGCTCCCCTCCGACGCTATAAAAACAATTAATGAACCAGACAGCCATCCAATCACAATTCGGAAAAAGGTGGGCGTTTTCTTACCGTCACTTAGCAGAAATAACTACCGAATTTGTGATGAGAATGGCTTGATTTGAGTTCGCAAAGACGTGGGCGTCGCTGTTGCCGGTTAACAGGATAACGCTGGTTGCAGTCTCAGTTTGACTCAAAGCAATTTACTTCCAGCTTAAATCACTTATTCCTCAAAATTAGTCACTTGAATATTGATGAATTAAAACCTGATTTGAATGTCACTTCAAAGCCACATTAATTTCACCACGAAGGTGAGTTTTAGTTGATGGTCATCTACTGTATCGAAAAAATCAAGCCAATCGATTACATCTTCCTGTCGATATTGGAAATCGAATTCAAGTCCTTGGGAAAAACGCACACCGAGGTAAGCAGTTGTAGAATCCGCATCCCATCAGCCACACTGTCGACACCGGTTTCCCCTAAGTGTGTTCTTATCAGCACACCTTTAGTTCACGTACCAGCACGCATTGTCGGGTGATGGATTTACTGCGCCACAAATCCGTCTATCAGTGTAATCGGTAGCAAAAATTAAGGAGGTGGATACTTGGGCAAAATTGTGGTCGAGTCGGTAATTACCAAGAAGTCCGCTTGTCAGAACATACCACGAGCGAGGAAATTCTTGGGGATTTTTGGTGCTAGATTTGTATGCTGCGGTGATCTAGAGGTTATGTAGGTCTATCCTGGGTGGAAACCGGAGTCAGGATGATGTCGGCAGCCCCAAATACTTCCTCGCAGAATGCGTCAACATCTCGCTTGAGGAAACATCTTCGTTCCACCCCAATTAAGAGTTTCTCACTCTTGAATAATACAACGTCCCTTCTTAGCTAAATCTGGGCGTGGCATCTCTCAGATTCAATCCACCGACGAATTCGGCTAGGCACCCGCATCTTGGAGAGTTCTGATTTTCGCAAACAACTCCACGTTCTTCAGCGACGCCCGTATTTCAACGTACCCCGAGGCAAGACATTATCTCCCCATGTAAATTTTCACGCGCTAACTAGCGGTCTCACTGCAAACTCCACATTAATCAGACCAACCAATCACATTTCTCCACTTGGAAACACGTCAAGCACCTTGGTCTGTCGAGGATAGGCTACTAGCTTCCAAAGACCGATCATCTACCTTCGCCAGACAGCATCATTGGACGTGAGCTTTGCAGGAAATGGGCCATCCCGGGAACTTGAGCGAACCCAAATTGTGACACTGCCTGAACTCGTGATGGATATGCTGGATCAGCGTGGTGGTCTAAAACAACGGCAAGACTGAATCGGCTAGACTTCAACCCTTACCATCACCGTCACCATCGAAAACACTTGGTCGCTCACAAAATAATGTCCACAAAACTCTAGTCTTCGTCAAATACAATCCTCTTGGGCATTGGATGCAAGGTGTCAACAGCAACCGCAGCCGCAGGCGGTTCTCGGGGGTCGTTAGGTGATTTCGTGCACCGCCTCTGTCGCTTGGCAGCCTGTGCGCGACGTCTGCGTTCGCGGACACCCATCTTGGCGGCAACGATGGCCTCGCAGTACGCCCTTTCCCGGTCGCCCGCTAGCACAAAGCCCGCACCACCACCACCACCGCCTTCTTCCAGCAACGCGCTGAAGGTCTGGGCAGCCGTGGAGTCGCAGAACCGGATGAAGCATCGGACGCAGGACTCGTCGACGGTGGGGACCTGCTGTGGCGGCAGCTGGTCGCAAGGCTGACCGTCGAAGTGCGCCACCGACTGGAGGAGACCGTGCGGACGCAGAAGGGTGCCCTCAATTGCAGCCCGAACTCGGCGCATTTGAAGACGAGGATCCACCAACACCGACGGCGACTGTGTTTCCGTCTCGAGAGGCCAGTAGACCTACAACAGGAGAAGCAGTGACCTCACACACAGAGAGAGAGACTGATGAGAGCATGTTCTGTCACGCAAAAGCACAACTCACCTCGACTACGCTGCCCGGACAGAAGTCTTCTGGCAGCTGCTTCACGCTCGACGCAGGCGTCTCCTCCGGCAATGTTGGCGCCTCGGAGCGGGCTGTGGCGACCCGCTGTTTCCTCTCAGCCTGTGCCATCAACTGGGCGGTCTTCCTGTCCATGCGCGCCATCCAGGCTTTGAGCCAGGAGTAGAAACGGGGACGCCACTTGAGCCAGTCGCGGTAGGGCAAAAGACGCAGCTCGCTGGCGTCGAGGTGTGTGGAACCACCAGCGTCCGCACCATCCTTGGCTGCATCGCAGCGTCTCTCCGTGATGAGACGATCTAGAACAGCAAAGATGAGAAGATGCCAAGAGACGCCGAGGGGGTGGACAGATGTAGAGCTCAAACACACACGTACACTCAGCGTCCATGGGATTCGGCAGCCGATAGCCCGCCGCGTACAGCCGACGCCACGATGCCAGCGCCTGCTTCGATCGGCGCGAACAACACCGCCAGACAAATTGCCGAGCCAGACGCTCGTTCAAGGGCAGCACGGCGTCCGACGCCACCTTGGGTGTCCAGGCGGCTTCTGGGTTGGCGTTTTTTGGAGCTACGTTAACGACAAAAGACGTCGGTGAGGCTTGTGAACCAAAGTAGAGCCTCACTTGAAGGTCAGACACACTCACGGGTGTCAGAATCCGCGAGTGGAGCAGCCAAATCCGCTGCCGTCGGCGCCAGTGCACTGACAGCGCGTTCTGCCGCGTCCCTCGAAGCAAACTCCACAAAGGCAAAGCCGCGTGCAACTCCGGAGGTCTTGAACCTGAAAATCACCTACTCCAGTTAACCACCATGACCGCAGAAACAAATAACGACCATCCGAATTCCGACAAACTAACCTAATTGTTCGGCACATTGTAGCTTTGCTATGCACTCTCAAACAGCCATTACAGATACCACCAATTGAATGCCAATTTAATTTAGTGGGATTGTCTTCTGAAAGAGAGGTTTGGGAAAGGTGTTGTAGTCTACTTTGAACTGCAGGCAAAAGATTGCATTGACATTGATGCTTGCATAAACGCGACATCAAGTTTGCGTAGTTTATCGACGTGTTTGATCTAGGTAAAGCTGACGTGATCCTCAGGTGAGCCCTACTGAATGATCCCATTTATATCACACATATCTTCGTGCGATTTGTTAGACGTTTGTTGTGGAACCGATTCAAGGCACAAAACTCACCGGGGCACATTGACATAATTCACCTTGCCATATGCCTCTAACTGTTCCCTCAGCCAGTCAACCACCAACACGACCGAATTCGATTTGCTGGCCTTGGGTGCTTCTGGGGAAGTGGCAGCAGGGTCCGCATCTGCGTTGGCTTGGTCACCACCGGATGACTCATCGCCAAGACAAGGAATGCCCGTTGCCAGCACCATGTGGTCGGACGACGGAGCAGTGAACGAGAAGGGCACCCTTCGACGGATAGCTGTCCCTAGAAACACACACGGCCGTGATTCGACAAAAACCAAGCTAACCTTCCCAGGTGGTTTCAAGCAACTTCGATTGCTTCGCCGCGGCCAACAGGTGTTCTGCAGTGGCCCCGAGAGCCCGGAGTTTATTGCACTTGAGCAAAACGTCAAGACTCAGTCCACCATCTGGTGATCTTTCGACCTCGAAACGAAAAAAACCGTCACGCGAGAGATTGGCGTCGCTGAAGTAGAACTCCAGCTGCTTGCGAATGGAACTAATGTCCACGTCGGTATCGCTGTTTGACATTGGCGGTGTCTGCAGAGGAAGCAATACTGCATGTCAAGAACAAATGAACAAACGAGAACCACTGTCATCCGCTGTGTGACGAGACCGCGAACGTGCAACCAAGTGGGTCTAGCACAACTGCCCACCCCTATCAAAGGTATACCACGCAACATGTTCTACATTAGGCCAAACACGTCGGCCAATAGTGACAGATGAAGGAAATTATCATGTCGGGGAACCTCCCAAAAACGGAACAATCTCATGGAATTGTGGAAAATGCCACCAAGACTAAATCTGGACCGTCGCTTGCATACCCCAATTCTCGATTTCACATTGGCAACATACCACTGCGGAGGACCCATTTAACTCGTTACCTCGTCGACGTCAATCTCAGGCTTGCCCAAACCTTAGAACAAATCCCCCTGATTCTCAAGTTTATTAGCGGAAAGCCCCACACATCAACGCAATCGACCCGACACACGCATAGTACAAAGCGAGCGACGGCAGCTCCCCCCTCGCGAATCTCAAGTTGATTAATTAATGGAACGCAGATCATGAAAAACAGGTAAGCCCCACATCCGACGAGTCATTACCATACACTTTTCAGAGAAGAACCACAAATATATTTCACATTTACGTAGCTGAACAAGAACTTATTTCAAGTTGAATACACCAAACCAGCACCAAGAAGGTAATAATTGCGTGATTGCACACATTTTTATGTAGGAAATAACAACATTGAAGGGGGTGAGCGCAGGACGTCTACATATACAGAGTACAGTTGGGAGACACCGCAGTTCATCGGGAGCCCGAGCGACTGCGTGACAGACTTCTTGAGCGCCCAGGCGACTGAGAGAACCTTCCGTCGTCACGAGGACTGGGAGACCTTGAGCCACCACGACCACCGCTGCGAGACAGAGAACGATCTTTGTAATGCATGTCCGGTGATTGAGACCCCCCACGCCCGGGTGATAGGCTCCGGTCAAGGTCATCTCGGTTGGCGCCACCGTCGCGAGACGAACCACGCGAACTGCCACCGGACCTGCAATTAGCGGAAGGCAATCAAAATTGGCGCACATCACAACGTGTTAACGAATTTATGAAAAAACGACCAGCGTTTTCCACAGTCACTTTATGGGCACACTACTTCCAATCGCCGTCAACTCAATATCGTCTGTAAAATACGCTCATTTTCGAAAACCGCTAATCCGAAGCGTGTGCCTCGACTGTCATTCTACTGAACGTACTTTGACGAAACCGCAACACCTGTCCACATACTTAAAGAGGCTTTTTGACCAGTCTTAAATTTGCCAGAAAACATACTTGCGACGTCGTCCACGTTCTTCCGACCACCGACCATTCTTTTCAGCGGAACGTTCACCGTGTCGATCGCGCCTGCCACCGTTTTCAGCTTCGCTTGATCGAGAGTAAGAACGTCTACGAGACGAAGTCTGTCTGTAGGAGTTTGATTCTTCCTGGCGGCTGCCCTTGTGGCTACGCCGGCGGTACGAATCCGATCTATCGCGAGAAGACCTGTCCCGCCGACGGGGTGATCGAGAACGAGACCTGCTTCGCCAAGATCGACCACGGCGACCGCCTGTGTCACGTGCCCGCATTTCCGCTGGAGCTACACATATATACAGAGTTTGGAGGAAATGATTTAAACAAATGCGACAGTTTGCAGCTCGGCTCTCTCTCTCTGGGATAACTGGCCATTGCCTTTGCTTGCACGAGCGCTTGACTGGCTGCTTTGGATTGAGTTATCTTTGACTGGGGGGGATTTACTGGACTTTGAATTGCATTGCAGTGATTGGAGGTAGATTGGTGTTGTTGAGGTTGAGTGGGGAATTACTCAACACTAGAAGAAAGCAGGCGATTGTTAAAGTAACATGAGCATGCATCTTAATAAAAAGGGGTCTCAAATCGTCGCCAACTGCAGGATACCGTAAGTGATTTTTGATGACTTAATAAATACACTTGAATGACAGCATCCACCATAGCTACATGAGCTCAATCGACAGGACAAAAGACATGGGTCGCACATTAAGTGAATCTAATAATGCATTAACTCTGACATCAACTAAATCAGGTTGCATGATGAAACAGAGGGCAGTAAAAAAAGCACTTATGCACACTTGGATCCTTTTTAAACTGATTTAGCGAAATAGAAATATGCGTTAGCATTTGGGAATAGTTAAACTGCGTTAAGAAGGAACATGAACAGTAACAGTGACATACTTTTCCGAGTGCCACGAGTAAACTCCACCGTGATCTCGCGCCCTCTGAAGCGAGTGTGGTTCATGTAGTAGATAGCATCTTCGGCATCGCGGCTGTCTTCGAACGTAAAGAATAGTTAAGGAGAAACAACTGATTAAATGCAGGAAAAACTTGTTTAAATAGCAAAAACTACTATGATGAAGAACTATGCCACGAAGCATTACTGAAGATTACTATTAATTAGTGAATGTACTGTAAGTTTTGGCAACAGATCAATGGTTCTATAAAAGGATATTCTACGAATGCGAAGCCCTTTGGTCGGCCCGTATGGTAGTTCACGGGAACTGTTACATCAACAACGTGCCCGTACTTCCCGAAGGCATAACGCAGGTCTTCATGCCTAAAGGAGAGAAAGGTAAATCAGTCTGGTCCTGAAACTTTAACAGCTACATGTTTGAAAGTAAAGAGCGCACAAGTTTATGTGGGCAACAAGTAGGGCAATTACCTGTTTGAACCAACGTACCTAATTTACACATAACTAAACACAAAACTTGCGTATTTTCTAGAATAAAGTGTTTGACTTAAGAAATGGTGGGTGGTTTGGTGAATACAAACTGATTGCTAGGGGCAACTGGCATAATAATGAAAATACCTAGTCAAAGAGTTTTACACATCACAGCACAGTACATAATATGTTAACAAATAAGGAAGCAAGTATTTACCTAACACCATCAGCCAAATTCTTCACATGGACAGAAGCACCTCTTCTAGCCATTCTGAACACGACAATGAGACAGCAAACAAGGGATAGCACGGAATCGCAAATAAGATGCATTAAAACAAACAAAAAAAGTTCAAAAATTATCCAACCTCGAGTTCTGTTAAACCGACCTAATATTTCTCATATTTTTATATTCTTTTTTTCAATGACTGAAAAATCCTTTGTAGACAATATTTATGTCTGTGAGAAACTTGAATTTTTTCTCCTAAATCAACCCAAAACTCTTACTATCTAAAAAGTGATGCCTTAGCACTGATAATAAAGACTACTTTTTATAATTTTCATTAAGTAAACTATCATTTAAACAAAACCATTAATTTAGTACTGCAACACATTCAGCAGTAATATTTTACATTTAAGTTTTTCAGAATCGCGAGAACATACACAAGTATACTCCAGTAGATAACACTAATATTTTTAAATTTTACTTGCCCTTTTAATCATTATTAAGCACAAATTATTATTTTTTAACCAAAAATTTATGGATTAGTTGTTATCATAATGGTGCACCAGGATTTGGGATGAAAACTGCTTCTATAAGGTGGTCCTCTGGCCAGAACTTATTAATTTCTGCTGAATACGCTGTTTCGCTAATCTACAAAGTAGAAATCTTTGAGCAAAATTACATGAAAAGAGCTTATTACATCTGCGTATTTGCTATTTTTTACCAGTGTTTTCACAATCAGTTACATTTATTCTGTCCACAAGCCTTCTGCCCTTGTCAATGTCCGCATTCACATCTCACTCTATTTCAATCAAGAAGTAAGAAAATAGCATCTGCTATGTTTAACTTCCTGCACTTATTTATAACGATCCTCTGTACATTCCAAGGAATCTAATTGACCTACTTTTAGTTTGGCTGGAACTTTATTAAGCCGATTATCGAATGCTGGCAGCACTTTGCTGCACTTTAAAATTTTAAATTTAAAACCGCACTATTTTCTCTGGAAAACGTGAACGGAGACACAAATAACAAAAGTTTCATTTTTCTTGAATATCCGTTCAGAATAGCTCCCTTCCCATAACAGTACACTCTTATATTAAATTCTTGTAACTTTGAACTCGAGATTAAATACATTTCGTACATATATCTATTTGTTTTACAAACAAGTTCTTTATTTTTTTTTCAAACAAGGGATGTCTTTCCAGACTCTGTTTGAAAGTCCTTCATCATGTAGTTCTTAATTCCCTGCCGCCAATTATTAAAACTGGTATATTTTACGAATTACCACCTTCAAATGCATTAGGCATTGCCTGATTTTGAAAACGGTTTGTTCCTCCAATTAACGCAATTTAAAAATACGAATGCGTTTCTTACTGTGCGAGCCGGCTGGCCATGTGAGACTCTCAACGCACTTGATGGTCTTGTGGTAGAACGTACCGGTCACCACTAGTTCGACCTGAAACACAATGTCGTTTCGCCCACCTCTATTTTATTTAATTGCATCGTATTTTCCAGTACCGAATTCTGGGTAAATACTTTTGCCCCTGTAAGTAGCCAATTAGTAGTAGAATTTCCTTCACGATCAGGAAAGCATCACACGCCGAATCCCCGTGACGTACCAGCAACAGGGCTAAGGCGCGGTTAGCAACCAGGACCACTTACTTTGAGAGCAAATGCAAATTAAAGGCAAATTGGCGCATGTACTTATCTGCATTCAAGGAGCATTAGATGGCACTCTCTTAACTGGAAAGCATTTGTACTTTTAGACGTGTACCTTGAAGGATGCAACCACAGGTACATTCTCAGAAAGCCCCAACGCAGATTCCCAAAAGGACTACTACGCGGACCCAGGAGTCATTCACACCTTTTCCTAAGCGTACCTCAAGGCTGACAAGTCAAACCTGCGATATTTTTCGTTTTCTGATTACATGGATGTGTCAACACCAGGCGTCACCCGTACATGCCATTCAAGTGTGCGCGAGAAGCAACCACGTGGGAATCGTGACTCATCCAGGTGCTTCAAATGCTCTAATTGAAGCGTCAAAAGTGCTTGCAGTATGACGCGTGGACAGAGACGAACTAGCTGAATACGGTTAGACCCCACCCCATGTTCTGTGGCACTTTTAGTGACATGCAAGAATTCTAAAGCTTGGCAACGAACTACGAAGTTGAGAGCAAATATTACTGCTGTATTTACACAAACTCACACTTAGAGAGCGGCGTTAAGAGAACTTGTTACATAAAAATGGCATTTTGGAAAGAACAGGGCGACCATAACATTGGAGGGGGGTGGGGTGTGGGCTAATGTCCCTCAGAAATGTCGAGGTGCACAGACATGTGAAGCTGCGAGCCGTTTCCTTCAAAAGGACAAAGTTGGCCCGCATGGAAAGCCAATGTAAATACGCACACAGAACTGATGAAATGCATATTTCTGAAGAACACACGCATGTACATACAACAAATCAGGCGCTTTTTGCATGGAAAGTCGTTAATATCGTGGATGGAGTTGGCGGTGGGTGGATGGGAAGTGGTATATCACAAGCTCCGCGATGCACGGAGGAGAGGCTGGAGGGGAGGCGGGGATCACAACACGACGTCTTTGGCTAATTGAACGCGGCAGGATACATCCCGGAGGCGGCCTCCGTCTGCAACAGTGGAGGCATACTGCAGACGACGAGGTTGCTGTTGAGGGGATCGTAACTTGCCGACGTGCTGATCCCAAATCCGAAGCCACCAGACGAGGTGACTGCGGGCTGGAGCTCCTCTAGATTGGTACCCTGTTGTTGCGCCATCAACCGCGAGTTCATCGCTTCGGTGAATAGTCCAGCGTAGGGAGTGTTGAAAGAAGTCGGGGTAGCGACGTTGCTGCTGCCAGCCATGGACGCGTCATTCCATCCGGTGTAGCCCCGATACACATTCGACTGGTGCTCAGACGGGTACAGCGGGTAGCTGAGAGGCTGGCTTTGCCCTCCGAAATTGTAATCCGGGTAGCCGCAGGCCTGACCGGGGTACGCCCGGGCCCAGTCGCTATTGTTCGGGACTCCGCAGTTTCGTAAAGATGCATCCTGCTCCGAACCTGCTGGCGCTGCTGATGCGTTGTAGCCTGTGGCACCAAGATATCCAGAAGAATTACCAGCAGGCCACAGGGAGGGGTTGTAGCCGCCTTCAACGTTTCTCGGCGCTGTTTGACCAAGAAACTCCGCCTCGGATTGGTTCTCACTCCAATTGTTGATGGAGTACGGCGCGCCAGTGAAGGAAGACGCCACAGACCCACGTGCCTGGCCGAAATCGGTTCCCCGGCTCACAGTAGTTTGTGATGACGCCAAGGAGAAAAGACAACTTGAATCGCTGGTGAAGCCGCCTTCCCGGTCGGCGCGACTCTCCCAAAACGCCATCTTGTTGGTTGCCTCCACCGTGGATAGGAGGGGCTGCGCGGAGATCCGACTTTGACGCACGCTGCCATCGCCACCTCCGCAGCTGCTGGATCCGGTGGCGGAACCCACCATCGAACCGAGCCCACTGCTCACTTGGGAGCTGGTCGTGCTCAACTGGGCGGCCTGTTCTGGCAGGGGCTGACTTGCGCCAGTCGGCGGTTGCGAGGCGGCGTCCCACGCGAGCAGTTTGTCGTCAGTTTTCACGGCTCTTTGGAAAGGCTCTCCACCGGGGTTGTCCTTTACGGGAGTGGGTGTTGTGGGCGTGGCAATACCGGGTCGAAGGTCACTCTCCGGGTAGCCGCTATCTTGCGTGAGGTTTGTTAATCCCGAACCAACACCTGACGATGCGCTCCCTCCGCTCATGTGCCATCGATCTGAAGGTGCAATAAACCCAGTTAGTAAAATCCGAAATTTCAAGAACGCATCATCCATCTGCAGGTAGACTGACTGACCTCCGGACTCTGCGGTAAGAAGAGAGTTGCCCGCATCCTTTGCAGCCGAGCTATCGACCATGTCCATCTTCTGACCACCATTGGAAGGAGGCGCGGTAGCACCGGGATAGCGCATTCCCGCTTCGGATTTGATGGGGTTCTGGGGACGCATGCTCCGGGGGAAAGCGCCCCTTGAATCTTCCGGTTTGAATGAAGCAAAAAGAGGCGTTGGAGAGAAGGCCGCGGGCACATTCGCGTCGGTCACCAAGGAAGGACAGGAGGTGGCCTGCGACACGACGGAGGAACGGAACTGGGTCTGTGGGGGCACCGGCTGTGGATGGTGGTAACGCGTCCGACTAAGTCCCAACACGCCACCGCCGACAAACTGAAGCCACCAACACTAACACTGTTGACCCCTCTCACTCTGATATAATCTTGTTTAACATGGACTATGATTGCTTACCCTTGCGGCAGAATGCTCAATATTGGCGGTTTGGCTCATGAGGACGTCGTAGCCATCGCCGTACCGCGGTTCCTGGTACGCGCCGCCAACTCGAGGACTCGTCCAGCCCCTGGACGCGGAGTACCCACCGCCACCGCCACCAACACCACCACCACCGACCCTTGGATGGCCTTGAGCCCAATCACAGGGCCACGCCTGATGCTGGTGATGCGGATCCCAGCCTGCCAAGTTCTCCCGTTTTACCGAAGCCGCGCGCTGTGCGGCATCATGCGGAAAGTGATGGTGGTCGTGGCTGTTGGAGTAGGCGTGCTGATGATGCTGCATGGCAAGGACGTTCTGGTGGTACGAGTGAGGGTACATGCTCCGGTTCATGGTTTGCGGGGGGATCGCCGCTGTTCCCTCGGGAAAGGCTCCAGAACTGCTTCCGGACGTTTTGTGGCCGCCGCCTTTGGGTCCACCGCCTCGGCCACCACGCGCCCCATTTCCTCGTCGGTCGTGAAAAAACGAAAGACCATCGGTGGGACCTTTGGATTCCTCCCTTGCACCCCCTCCTCCGCCTCCGCCACCACCGGAACTTCGAAAGGCTGCGCTCAACCCAGTGCCTCCACAGGAACGACTGCTCCAGCTTTCGCCTTTGTGCTTCTTGTTGGCGTATACCTGTAGCGCAAAGTAGGCAAGAAATCAACTCAAAATCAATCCATCGTGTTCAATCAGGCCCTGAAGTTCGCTAAAAACCACGCTCAGCAGCTTGCCTAGACCTTTTGAGAAGAAAGTAAAGTGAACAAATTTTACCTACAACGGACCATGAGCAGTCGAATCGTGATTCAATTTGGGGGAGAACCTTTGACAATGAGCCCCAGGACATCAACGATTCTGGAAAAATTAACTTATACTATGCTTCCTTTAAAGGAGTAAAGACAGGAGTGGAGATCTGTCTTCTTCTTATTCTTTTCAATTGGAACCTCGTCAAACGCAAGAAGGACAGGAGGTGGCCTTAGACGACGAGGCTACTTCGTGGAAGCTTGTCCGGGACAGGTTTAAATTCCAAAAGATGAATCGCTCCTGTGTGATTCCTTAACTAAGTGCCCATTGGTCCCAAAACACATCTACTCGCACAATGACACACTGTGTTAGCTTTGTCGATGCGTGTTACCGTAGCTACTCGTCCCCACCCAGATCACAACGCTCCTAACCACTCAGACAGTCAAAAGACAAGCCAACAAGGCGTACTTCGGCACCGTGAACAGTCTTGACGTGTTTCCGCAGCGAGCTGGGATCGGTGTAGCGCTTGGAGCAGCCAACCACCTTGCAGACGTAGGGTTTTTCGTTGCTGTGGGTGCGGTTCTGATGTTTGGCACGATCAGAGGCATTGCTGAAGGCCTTGTTACAGCCTGGGACCTCGCATTGGTAGGGTTTTTCACCGGTGTGCGATCGAAGATGGGTCTTCAGGTTCTCCAATCGAGAGTATCGCTTCGAGCACCCGTCGAACTGTAAGAAAAACGAGTTTTCTTTTCACAAAAACCGGTCAAATTGAAAAAAAAACGTGCTAAATGCCCATGTAAATTAGTTTCGGCACCATTGGAGTCGATAACAACGGCGCGGTTGAGTTCAGACAGGGAATTAATGACGTCTAGACGAGGAATGAAGAGAGTCAGTGGCTGAAGTCCCATTCCCAAACCCAGAGTGGACTCCATTTAGTGAATTAAAATCCACAGTCCAGCTATCAAACTAACCGAAATTAGACCACCGCTGTCGACGTCTGAATTGAAAAATTCCCCCTCCGCCCAGAATAAAATCTTACACAAATACAAAAAAACGTCTAGCTACCGTGAGGTGTGAGGGAGGCTCACGCATGACAGATAACTGCCACGGGAAATGGCACGAACGAGTAGGGTTTGTCGTGGCATTAATCAACCCAAAACACACAAAACTGTTACTTATTCCATCGTGAAACACTTGTCCATCAATCTGTTTCAGCCTCCGAGAACGTGTTGTGAAATATCGAATATAATTGCGATTTTTCGCGTGGTGATTTCCAGCAATTATGGCGTGCCATAATTTGAAGTCCAATGTGCATTTGCCTCGGATTCAGCATCAAAGTGGGTTCGAATTCTCTAACACCAAACCAAATTATCAAATAACTTGTTGTTACAAAAGATTTACAAGCTCCTTCCAGTGGTTTAGTTGATGGTTTCATATTAGTAAAGACATCCAGGCTCTAGCAAATGTGACTTTTGACATCCAAATTCTGCGCCTGAGTCACAAACCAAGGCATCCTTGCAGCCGTACGACCTAGAAATCTGCAATCCTGGGACAATTTCAATCACAGACGCTGCAAACGAAACGTAAAAGTTTGAAGAAAGATGACAGTATGTACCGCATTTTTACGCACAAATTGATAATTTTTGTTGTCAAACGTCAATCTGTCAAGGGCTGCTCACTTGATGTACTCGTTTAAAGGCACAAACATTTCACATGCCACACGGCGTCTAGTAGAGCACATACATACACACAGCACCAAATCTTTGCCTACATTCTCCATTTTTGACTGTTTAAAAAAGGCGCAATCGTGTTAATTACTCGAATGAGCACACACACACACTCGACATCAGAGGGACGGCAATCTGGGTAGAGGGGAGGGGTGTGTGGTGTGGAATGAAGTGGGGCAGAGTGTGTGTCAGGCAATAACTGACGCCATACTGCTGGACCCCCCACCATCTCGCATTATCCACCCAGTTGAATCTTCAAAGAGCAGTCCTCGTCGTCCGACGAACTCATCAATTACCTGCCTGCCGCCCGCCCCACCCCCCTTCCTCGGCCTGCCACCTTCTGCTTCAACAGACTGCCAGAGGCGGCAGAGAGGGAGGTGAGGCGCTACGGAGAATATCGCGCAGCATACGAGCACCGTTGGGTGGTCTGGTGGGTTAGTTAAGGCAAATTTTTATCAAAAAACCATGCATTTCGAAGAGCAAGGAAATCAGGGCACTCACGATGCACTTGTGCGGCTTCTCTCCGGTGTGACGTCGCATGTGCACCACGAGCATGTACTGCGCCTTGAAGGGTCGTGCTCCACGCACGCATTCACGCCAGAAACACACGAAGCTCTTCTTGTTCCCCGCGATGTGCTCATTGCTGATGTGCTGAAATGAAGATGAGGCAGAGGGTGAGAGAGGGAGAGGGCTGGGTCACTGTGATCTGGGTGAACACCCGTTGAAGCCTGACGTGATGCCAAAAGACGTCCATGTGGAGCAGCTTAAACCGCGTGTCACAGAAAAATCTTCCCAACTAGACGACACTGTTGGCGTCAACACTATCCATGACACGGTGAACAAACCAGATCTCGTCAATACTGCGCACAAACACCAGTTTTGTTTCAATTCCACGGGTTCGCAGGCGCGCGCGCACATAACTGAACTTGATAGGTCCCAGTCAATTAAAACCCATGTCAAACACTATTTTTGTAAGTAGGATTTACTCCGGTTAACCATAAAAGTATGGATTTGCAGTCTGTTCTGCTCTCACCTTTACAAGTTCGTCTTGGGAGTCGAATTGGCACTGACAGTTGCCCCATCGACAGGTCGTCTCGACAAAGTCGGGATCGCCTTCTTGTGGAATTCTACCATCCTCATCCATCAACTCTTCCTCGTCGTCACTGCAACCGGCCTCTTCGCCGGCCATCAAAGCGGCTACGGAGGCGTTCCCGCCTTCCAATTTCATAGGCTTGGCGGCCGACGTCGCGGAGGTAGAAAGGTCCTCCCCCTTCAGGGAGCCACCTCCAGTTGTGGACGAATCGCCGTTTGTGTTTGTCGTCACGGGCGGCACGCATGAGTCCTTGCGAGGCGGGTACCCGCTTCGGTTCAGCCACCAGTCGTAGTTGGGCGGCGGAAAGGCGTCTTGAGGCTGAGCACGCGGATAGAAGGGTGCCGCGGCGGCGGCGGCGGCGGCAGCAGCAGTGCTGGTGGACTTGTGGAAGGCGCTGTGGTACAACATCATGGCCTGGGGCGAAAGCATGAAATTGGCTGGAGGTGGTTGGGGTTTTCGCGAAAAGAGCGGAGGCGCGATGCCTGGCGCCGAGGCGGGCGAGGAACCGTCGGAGGAGGAGCTGGTGGCGGCTGCCGACGCGGGATCCGAACCGCAGGCCTTTGGGAGCCAGCCGTGGTGACTCACAGGAGGACCACCTCCACTGCCACCTCCTCCACCGAAATTCACGGCAACGGCAGCAGCGGCCGCTGCAAATGCCATAGCAACGGCAGAGTTGCTTTCCGCGTCCTTGGGGTCACCTTGGAGAAGGAAAAGGTTAGTAAAATCACTTGTCAAGCCTGGTAAAACGCAAGGATTGAAATGATCTGAGCATCTCCTTCCCTGTAGGTCTACAAGACCTCCCATACGTCAGTCAATTCTGAGAGCCAAAAATAGAAGCTAGACCACCCAGCAAGCACATTTCAAGTACACTACTGCTGGTGGCACAATGCCTAACGATGAAAATACCACCTGACCAACTTGGACATGTTGGTGTCCATCGACACAGAACCACCATGTTGGTAACCGCACGTCGTTGTCATTGCATTATAAAACAATGCATACTCGATTTGTCGAGTTGCGGCGAACAGCCATGGAATGCAGAGCCGGGAAAAACGCCGACGCCGGAGGAGACAGAGGTGCAAGGGTAGAAGAAGGACGCGGGATTGGTAGTAGCCGCGGCGGCGGTGGAAGAAGTGGGGTTTGGGTAGACGCCGCCAGCCTGACTGCCTGTGCTGCTGCCGCTGCTGTTGGGGGTACCACAGGAGGTCGCTTGCCTCGGCGTGCCTCGAAGAGGCATTGCCCGCCGTGAAATCGACGACGGTGTGACCATCGGTGCGAAACCACCACCGCCGCCGCCACCTGCTGAACCCGCGGAGGCAGTGGGCTGTTGCGGAGAGTTGCCGAAAACTGAGTTGTCTGTGCTGTTGGTGCTCGTTCGCCGGTCGAAAATTGGCACCGGACTCGCGCCCAGTGAAGCTGAAACGGAAAAAAAGCCAAGCTGAGACACCTCAAGGGCAAAGTCGCTTTGAGAATCTGCTACAAAGGACATTTAACTGCGCTACTTCAAGTACCGTCACCCACCCCCCCCCCTTCCGACCTACATCAGGTTGATAATCACATGTTTCGCTTTGAATCACACTTTCTACAACGCTCTCTGCATCGTCGCAGCCGTGAGGGAGGTGGGTGGGCGGGTGGCAAGGTGTCAAAGAGGAGAAATTCCACCCTTTCAACACACACTCACAAAGAAAGCCACCTGCAAGCAGCATGTCACAGTGACAAGGCGATCCAAAACAACTGTCTGACTGGTTGATTTTTCCTACTCCAGGTTGAAAATACCACCCAGAGAAAGCCACCTCAATTCAACAGACTTCGGCCCAAGCATCGGGTATTGGTGCGCAAGAATACTCAAACAACGCTGTGCATATGTCACTGGGTTAAACGCTTAATCTCCGCTGGTGGCTGTGTGAACGCCATCTGGCAGCGCGCCCTGCTGTCGAGTGGGGGGTCGACTTCGTGAGCCTAATGTGTGTCAGTTGTTGCTTTTTTTTTTCTACCCTGAGTCGAGACACGAGATGGGGTTCTAGATTGGACCCAACTGTAGCAGCGAGACTCGAACACAGGGATGACTGAATGCCTGTGTTGAGTAGACAACTGGCGCAATCACTTGCTGTACAAAGTGATTGAAAAAAAATGGAGTTAGGGGTAATAAAGGATGACGAGGGAGGGAGAGAGAGAGGGGACAAGGCGTGTTGCCCATGTCATCATGGCAGCCACCTGTTGCTATGACTACACAATACACCCGGACAAAGTAACCACAGGAGGATGAGCAGCGTACGCCACACACAGAACGGGCGCAGCGTGGCGTCTCAACGTCTAATCGATGAGTTCATCTATCCCTGGATAGAATTCAACTTATTTACCCCCATTTCCACCTTCCACCACTTTCTTCCAAACACTGAGACAAAGTAGATTCGGGAGAGTTTTTGGGTGGCCTGTCCGAGCAGAAAAAGGCTTCACACAGCTGCATGCTCGAGTGAGGTGCTGCGCTTGCCCAATTTCTAAGCTGAAGACCAATAACCACCGCCAAAATCCACACTCCTCCGCGTTTAGAACGGTCGTCTTCCAAAAGGGGTTTGCCTGTTCCTCCACAGAGCTACACAAGACGCAAATCTAGAGTTGGGTCGCAGGTCAGAAGGCATGCACACTTTGACCACGAGTTGGAGATTAATTTCTGCACTCAATTTGACCCCAATCTCGTGACTCTGATTAAAACAGCCCGAGAGGCTGCGCCTGTTATTTTCGACTAAAATTATTCGCCGCAGTCAATGTAACAAACGCCATTCACACGCACAGCGAATAAACAGTGCTGTTTTACTGGATACACTGGCGAGACTCCACAGCGAGTTGCGAGAACAACTTAAACAAATTTTAACCCAGGCGATCATTTTCATTTAGCATAAAAGAAAGATTCTTAGAACAGCCATGAGGTAGATGTTTGCCCAATTTCGTTAATAAAGGCCTAATTGGAGTTGTTTAAATTCACTGGAGGACCTTTGCGCGCGCAAAGGAACATGTCAAATGTCGACCATGTCGCTTCCGACTCCCAAATTAACTCGCGACAATTTCTTGAAACACACACACACACACGCACAAAAAGCAGATTCTACATTAAACAAGCCCACGCTAAAGGAAAAAAATTGCTATCTTCTGGCGATTCCAAGGGCAACTGAAGCATTAATCATACAAAGCACGAACAGCACCACGCCATTGGACGCCGTGTTGATTTAGAAAACAGCAGAGCGGAAAGGTTGCCGCAGTTCAGGTATTACGGGGGGAGGCACGCACAACCGGGCTTTGGGCAGACAGTTATCGTAGCTGGCAGTATCCACAGACGGTTGTGTGTCTAAACCAAGTGTGCGCAGCGAATGCCCAAGGCTTAGGTTTGAATGGGGAGTGAGACGTACCCGCAGAAAGGTGGCCGTAGGAGCCGCCCATGCTGGAGACGCCACTCCGCGACGTCTGCATCGCCTGGAGCATATTCAAGGAGCCCTGTGAACTGCGCGTAAGGCTAGGAATGTCCAAGTCGTTGACGGAGGATTGCGAATGCGAGCGCTTCTTGCCACCGCGCAGGAAGGATGCGCTGCCAGTCTGTGCGGTCCGCGACCCGGGTCTGGCGGGCACGAAGCCGCTGCTGCGATGGCCAGAAGGCTGCGGCTGCTGGTGTTGAAAGCCGAGGCCCCAGGTCGCTGGTGAGGGCGGCAGGAAGGGGTTGGCTAGTGGTGGCGGCGGGGGTGGCAACAGGGGGCTGGGGGTTCCACTTGCCGACGTTGGCTCAGACGCGCGGGAACACGGACTCGCGAACCAGTGCCGAACCACACTGAAGGCCTCGGCAGCAGCAGCCGCTACGGCAGCCTCCTGTGAAGCTCCGGGCGTCGACTTCCAAGGACCGCTGAAAAAGAAACAGTATCCAGATGGAAACCAATCAGTTATGAGGGCTTTGAGATGCCAAATTAGCTATTCAAAAGTGCATTTGCAGTCACCAAAAGTACTTCGACGTAAGAGCTCTTCACACGAGAGGTGTGAAAAGTGGTTTCAAGTAGAAGTGTGCTTCACAGGGAGTCCCTCTGAAGATTTATCCTCGAAAAAACTGAAACAGGGTCGCGATATCAGGTAATTCGGAGTAAGGGCGCATTTTTCACACCGGGCAGCCCATGTACGAGTGTTTACGCTAGTCTCTGTTTTTTGACATACTCCACTTGGTGTGTCAATTTATGATCACCCAGTTTGCCGCTTCAGCAGCGTGTGATATTGGCACAACAGCACTAACAAACACCAGCTAAAAACTGTTATGCCGCTATTCAAACAGGAAAACCGGTTCTACAAGCGACGTGTCATTTAAAATGTCCGAATTGCCGCCTGCTTAGCGTGTGAATTCGGCACACAAACGTTGATAACCGAAAAACACATGCGCATCACGGCTACCCGATTTAGAGTTCAGTCTGACGAGTTCTGCGGCATTGCGTGAACCACAGCGACTACAAAGCGAGTGTCCCACTGCCAAAAATAAACACCCCAAACGAACGCGTGTGCGCACGGTGATCCAGATGTGACCTTTCCGTCTAACCGTCTCGCTTGTTCCAGAATCGGCGGTAGTTAGCGGCATTTCCGGGGCCCAATCACGATCGTTTGGAAGACCCCTTTGGGTAAGAGATAAGTTCAGTTGTCATGATCCAGTCTGGTATTATGCAATAAATACGGTTATCTGGCTGTGTGTGTGTGTAATTAACATTTGCTACGGCGCAGAGAAATGTTATTCAACACCTACGAAAGGGTATTTGGCTGCCTCCACGTCTTCCTCCTCGTTCGGATGATCAGTGACCATTGTGCGGGCTAGCTTGAAACCACCAGAAATTGAAGAATCAGTTGTGAGATTTTCTTTGTGTTACACAGCGCACGGAATGGCTTGTCTCCAATCGAGTGCACTTCTCAAATGGTCATTAATTCGCTATCACCGTTTTTGCCTGTGTTTCCTGAAATGTGTGTGTGTGCGAGTGTACGCGCTTGGAAAGCAAATTCAACCATTTCCGCGTCAGCTTTAACGATGCCGTAGTTGAGAACGCGACGAACGGGTGCGGAAAAACTGCATTACCGACGCCAGAAGTCCTCCTCGTTCCACGTGAAGCGCTTGAGGACGCACAAACTGGGGTGTTGAACCAGTGGAAGTGCCTCTTCAATGGTCCCTTCAATGATAAGCCACTTGCAGGAGCCACATTTTTCTATTGGCCGTCTTGTCTCAACAACACGCACACACACACACGTTTCTCACATTTCATCAAGTAGTCAGAGCAAAAGCCACAGTGACAAAAAGTGGTCTTGTCTGTGCCACCCTCACCCGCCCCACTCACTCGTCTCTCCTGCCCTCACTCCCGCCCCGCCGCGTCCCGCCGTTAATCACAGACGCAGAGGGGAACGACAATGCCCTCACTTCTGTGCTCAATTCTCCTTGTTTTGCAATGAAGCGGCAATGAAGCTGCTGCTCTCACGGTGAGCGTCGTTAATTAGTCTATTGGGACGGCGCTGCAAAAAACGTGTGCGCCCGTACGAAGATAAACGCAAAAAAGAGGAGGAGGAGAAGAAGAGGAAGAAGAGTGGGGGGCATGAGGAGGCAAGCGCAGTTGTTCGGTGCTCAGACGTGCAAAACAGCCCCGACGACGCCCTCTTCATGGGTAGTGACAGGGCGCAGGGCCCCGGATGCTGGTTTCAAGCAGGTCACCCGTCTTCTGGGGCGGAAGCAGGAACGCAAGGCGGCGATCGATTAGACAAGCAACTCCGGCAATAGCAGCAGCCGCGGCGGCGGCGGAGGCAGCGGCGGTGGTGGAAGGAGAGTAATAAAAGAGACATGTGTGTGACCGGCGCCGAACAGGCGCGTGACTAAAAACCATTAAATACTGCTGATGTAGGTCATACATGGGCGCGGACGCGCGTGTGTGTGTAAGCCGGGGCTGTCAACGTCGTGTGTCCGATGGGATGAGGTGTGGCCCTAGTCACATCGTGGTCAATTTGGAAAACGTCTACCACGACAGTCCCGTTGTCCCTCAATTTTACACACCACCAAGTTGACCGCAATCGATTAATGGGGACATGATTCCTCCAGGCACTGCCGAATCAATAATGGGGTAAATAAGACCTGCGAGTATAATACGTAGGGGCTAGTTTCCGTGGTTTGGGTTGTAGCAACAGCTAGAGGTAGGGATGAGTGGGGACGAAAAGAAGGCGATCCCCTCTCTCTCCCTCTGTGTGTGTGTGTACGTGTGGGTGTGAGGGAGTGTAGGTGTGTACCACCCACGGGGCCTCGTCGTCGGCATTGATTCAGGACATTCCCAGGAAACCTACTCTCCCTTTCACTAGCAGGCCCTCTCACACATACACACGCTCCCTTTTCCAGCAGAACACGAGAAATTAGGGCGAGAGAGGGAGCTTAGTCACTAGCAGGCAAAAGGCACAAAACTCTGCAGGATCCAAGGATGAAAGAAAACCTGCTGGAAGCAGAATAAGACCAAAAAAGACCCAGATTGTAAGCGAATCGCCAGATTTTAAAATATATTTGTCAAAAAAAAGGAAAACTCGTTTCACTCAGACAGCAGCGTGAAAGAGCGGATTGAAAAAGCATGTAGGGGCGAAGGTATGCAACAGCCTGCCGAAAATAACTCAACCAATAGACGTGCACAAGAGCTTCTTGAAAGTCCCGGGTGAGCTTGTCAAAAGCAAAATCTAACCGGGTCATCAAAAAATTTGAAGAAAATTGCTCCAATTGGCTTTACAAGGCGTGGGCTGGCACAAATGCATCTTCGATTTGTACATTCAGAGAGCTTTCGTGCGGTTCGAAGAAAGTACGTCAATGATTGGACTTCCTTCACTCGATATGTAGGGCAAATGGTGCGTGATTTTGCGTGCGAATAGATTGCCTAGCATAACGCGCACGCATCGTCACCACCTCACACAATTCCCTGCTCCAGATTTTCCATTCTGGCTCGACACACGTCATTCTCGTCCACACCTACTAAAGAAGTTGGCGACGACCAACCAAATCCAGGCCACGGTCGCCACGGAAATACCCCTATTGATTGCAAATCAGCTGTCAATGCTGATTGGGCCACCCTTGGGTCGATGGAAAATTCATTCAAATGCACCTCAACTGATCTCCACCGGCCGTGGAATGTGGACCGCCTCCAATGACACCAATCGAAAGCTGTTGAGGTGTGGACTCGTGGTGAACCAGCACAGCTGAAGTGCATCAAGAAGACGTCACGTTGTCCAGTTGGTGGTGTTGCGTTGATGTAGTGAATTTGAGCTGCGTACAAGCAACCACTGGGAAAAAGAAGTCGAATTACTCAATTTGAAAGGTATAACATTCCACAGATCCCGCAAACACTTTGCCCGATTCCTCGAATTGTAGCACCTCGTCAAATGAGGATTAAGACCAGAAATCATGCTCGGTTCGGTTTTGTGCTGTTTAGCGCCACATGTGGTGACGGCGAGACAAGGTTAAATGGGATGAAACAGCGCATGTGCAGTTGATTTCAACTCGTTCATTGTTCGAAAAGCGTCCCCAGAAAACGCGACAACTGGAATTGAATGTCGTCTTCAGGGTTCAGGAAAGGCCCCCTTAATGCATCTCCAGAAAGATGTTCCACGACATCAGACTTCAAGGGTTCGTGTCTGAAGGGCAGCGCTTCAATCACACCAACTTCACCCGATCTCCCAAAGACCCAAACGGCGGAATCGAGTCTATGAATGCTGGAAACTTCATTTCCACCCAGGCTAATTTACATCGAAAGTGGCTGCCTGTGCTGTCGAGCAAGCCAATAACTCACCGGTGTGCAATCCTCTCCTTGCATCGTTTTGGCATTACTAAAACGCTGAACCCCTGTCACGAAGTCGGACCAGTCTATTTTTTCCAAGACATCTTTAGTGAACACACACACGCACTCGCGCGCGCGTTTGACAAACAGACAGACTGACATGGGATGACTTCGGCCAGGGTCGAGGGAGTCAGACGTCGTGACAGAGCGTGTCGTCACACACACACGCCAGCTGTGTGGTGAATCGCCGTCACCGCGTTGAGGCGCAAGATGGCGTCGCCTTCTTGCTCAACCCTCTCTCTCCGACTAACCGCAGACCTTAAAAGAGTCTCGCGTTGGCGCCAGCTCCTATCTAAGCGCATCAAGTTCCCCAGTCCCACCACCACCGCCCCCGCGACCACCTTAAAAGGGGACGACTGGTGTGGGCGAGATAACCACGCTCGCACCTATCCCACCCCTCGAATTCAATAAAGCGTATTGCGAAACAACGACGACGCTAAAAGCCTGCAAAATCACCTCGAGGGCCGACTTGGTCGATCGATAAGAGCCGGAAGCCAGCAAACCAATCAGATCGCGAGTTTGGCCAGACAAGAGCCAGTGGTGATTGGCCCTGGACAGGCACAAACACGTGCGGGGGAGCACCTTGCAGTCCTCCTTTAAAGGGGAGGACATTGCCGTGATAGATAGGGTCTAGCGATTACCTTCGTATTTATCAAGTCTGCCCCGCACGCACGCACACACACATACAATTTTGACGAAGGTTTTTGTTAAGTCTATCAGCACGAGAGGGGAGGGGGTTAGTTCCGACGCGATACGCATCTGAAAGTGGAGCAGGAGAGACTGATAACAATTAAGAGGAAAGCATGCAACTCCCATTAAGACAAGTAGTTTTTTGTGCTAGTGATAGGAGGAGTTTGGTGCCAATTAGAAAGAAGAGGATGAGAAGGAGGCTGAGGCGTCGATAGGAGAGAGTCGGGGGGCTTGGCCAAAGGACACGCGAAGCGCGACCGTTGGGCTCACCCAAGACAGATTGTGACCCAAAGCGAATCACCACCTACGGGGGTGGGAATTTGTGCCTCGTGCCAAGTCAAGTCAATTTTGATTGCCGTCGTCGTCGTGGTCGTCGTGCCGTGATTGGCAGTCGACGCTGTCGGACGTTTAATGGGCGGAGATGACAGTACACAGACGACAGTGGGAGTTAAGTTGACCCGAAAAAAATTACTACGATGCGCAGCCATAAAATGAAACGGGAACGCGAGCGTGCGTGCGTGTGTGCGCGTCGCGCCTGTGGCGTCCGGGCAACGATGTCCCCAATACCGCAGAGTACGAGGGCGGGAGGGAGGCTGGGAGGCTGGTAAAAACGCCCGAAGTCAACCTGCACGAGTTGGCGCCGTCCCATTGACACACACACACATACAGAAACACCCACCCTTGCCGTTCCCGACAATTAGTTTTTTTTCACCGCCTGACAACGCCAGAGGTGGTTCACTTGGGCAACGTGGTTAAGTGTGAAGAATAGGGTAGGATTTTAAACCACTCTCGTCTCCAGGTGGGCAATAGAAAGAATGAGATTGGGCGAACCAACGTGTGTGTGTGTGTGTGCAATTAACTATCACTAGGCAATGTAATTAACCATGATCGAAGTAACGCATACACACCCCAGTTCCACAACTAATGCCACTTGCCGCAATGGGATGGAATTGGGGTAACAATAGACGGTGGGACAGGAAAACCACAGACAGATGCATTCGATAATCGTGAGTGGCAGAGAGATATCGGCTATTTTAATGGGCATTTTGATCAAATCACCCTTTTTAAGACTGGAGAAGTTTTGAAACCATGAAGAGTGGAACTCACGCCTGTAGAAGCAACGAATTGGCTGGCGGTCCATCAGCTGAAGAGGCTGTGGGGGCAGCTTCAGAAGCAGAAGACCACTCGCAGCGACTGGGTTGGACAACGGAGACGGGTGCAGGGAGGTTGGGCAAAAGGGGGCCGGCAGTTGTCATCGTCGTGGTCGAGG